ACACACACACACACACACACACACACACACATACACACACACACAAACACACACACACACTTAGCACAAGACGAATGTAGAAGAAAAAGAGAAAGACTGGGGAAAAGAGGAAAAAATAATAGGAGTTCAGACTAAACCCTCACACATATAGTCACACACACCTTAAACTGAAAATAAAAAAATAGAAGAATAAAAAGGAAAAACAAACCAACAAAAATTTTAAAAAACTGAAAGATGAACTCTCAATCATTTATATACACATGTAAACAGAAAACAAAAAACAAAAGAAAGAAAATGAAAAGAAAAAAGGGGATGCAGATTAAACCCTCACATACACATTCATGCACAAAGGAAAAATATTTTAAAAATAGAAATACTAACAAACAAACAGGCAAAAAAAATTTTTTTTCAATTAAAAAAATAATTAAAAAAAAGAAAAAAGCCCTGCCCTCTTGTGGCAGATTCTGTAATTGTTCTCATCTGCTTTTCCACTGTCTCCTGCAGAGCTTCCACCACTTTCACTCTCTCCCCAGTGTCTGAAGTAGGGAAGGAGAGGGGTCAATGGGGGTGGGAGGGAATGCAGTCCTCTCCTCTCCCTCTCATATGGTCAGGGGATTCCCCTCTGTTGGGGAGTTGTGGGATTGTCTCTTCCCTAGACATGTACTCACTGGGGGTGCCCCAACCAGGCATATCCTGTAATGGATTTCTCCTATTATGCCTGACATCTGCCTGAATTTGTCCCTCTCAGTCATGCCCCAACTGTGTGGGTCTGACATTCAGAGGATTTCTGGGGAGGAGGGGTGTTGGATCAGCCCCAACTTACCACTGATTTCTTTGGAGGTCTTTCTCATCCTTTTCTGGCCACTCCGTTTGTTCTGTGACTGAATCAAGGCAAGAGGTGGGGCACCTGAGACTCAGCACTTGTCCTGTCCCTCTGAAGTTTGTGGTTTCAGGATATTCCCTCTGGGTCATGATCAAGCCCTGACTAGTTGATATGCCAGTCACAGAGATCGGGTCTGTTGCTCCATGGTGAGCAAATCAGAGCACTTTCCTGCCCTGTTTTCAAGATGGTGGCAGGGTGCCTCTTTCATCTTCTCCAATGGAACTCTGCCTCTAGACTCCCTCCACAGTCCTTGCTGCCAGTGTCTGGCCAGGCGCTGCAGTGATGAGGCAAAGCCTGGAGCTGGCAGTCTCTCCTGCTGTAGTGGTGAGGCAGAGCCTGGAGCCAGTAGTCTCTCCCCATCACTTCTTTGCAGGAAAACTTTTGTCAGTTAAAAAAAAAGACACTCGACTTCTGTGACCTGGAAAGTACTAGAGACCAAGTAGAGCAGCTGCAACACCAGCTGCTTCACTGGGGGGCCCTGGCCACTTGCTCACAAGCCCCCACTTAGTCAGTCTCTCCCAGCATCTTCTTCCCAGGAAGGGTTTTATTGATTTTTAAAAACGTACTAGATTTCTGCATCCTGGGAATCACATCCCAGGAATCGCTAGTGTCCAAGGCAAGCAGTGGCAGCACCAGCTGCTTCACCAGGAGAACCCTGGCCACTTGCTCCTGAGCCCTCACTCAGTCAGCCACTCCCACTCCACTCACTCACTGACACAAACTCAAAATTTTCCATACACTCACTCACTCACACTGGGGCTTACATAGTCTGACTGGTTCAGTCACTATCTTCCTGACACTCAAATTTAAATTTAAAAATAAGATCTCTTAAAGAGTGAGGTGACATGATTATATTTCATTTGAAATTAAGACCCTGGACTAAGGAGGAGTTTAGATACCAGGGGGCCATTTTGAGACAATTGCAAGTACTGGCCTAAGAGAATGAGCTAGGGTGCTTGCCATGAAGGTAGAGAGGGTTGGATACATTATAGAAAAATGTAGGAGTTTAAATTGACAGAACTTGGTCATGGATTGAATCTGGGGAGGCAAAAAAAGTGGGATGGCTAGGATGGCCCCAGGATTGTGTCTTCCAGGGTAGATGGCAGTATGTGTCCAGAGTCAGGGACTCTGGCAGCTCATTCACACAGAGTGGAAGACATGGATCAGTTGGTTTAAGGCATGTTAAATTTGAGATGCTAAGTGGAGGCAGATCAGTAGAAGGGTGTGGGGTAGCCATGCAGTTTGGAAGAGAGATCTGAGTCATCTGAACAATTAATTGCCATTCAAAAGTAAGTTGTGGATTTGTTCTTTTGTTTTAAAGTTTGAGAAATTATTCAGTTTTCACTTTCCTTTTTCCTTCCCTCTCCTTTTATTTGGAGAACTTATTTTAGTCTTTCTTCCCCTACTCCCCCTTATTGATTGTGTGCTTCTTTTGACAGAGTAGTTTCCTAAATTCATCACTGCTATCTCAGTAGAATATAGGTCCCACCTTTGTTGTCTGCCTTTCCAGATCACCTTTGGGCCTTATTGGCTGAAAAACAGACAGCAAAAGGAACTGTGGCTACAAGTAATTTGGAAATTACTTGAATAGGGAAAACACATTGCTATTTTGTGTGAGGAGCTGTGGCTGAGGTGATTTTCAAGAGGCATGCTAATGCATCTAAACCTATTGTCATGGGCTCACAGCCATGCCTCTTCCAGGAGAAATGTGGTATGGGGTTGGTTCTGGTTTCTAGCAGGTATTCAGACAAAGCTGATGGAGAAGAGGAGAGAAAGTGTGAAATGAGTGTTTGTTTCCAAGCATGTATAAATGCACCTAAGAATAATTTTGACAACTCAGTCAGATGAATCAGATTGAATAGAACCAGCAGTTCTTTCTAAATAAGATTTACTGGACATCACTGATTCAGACTGCAAACTCTAAACCTTATTGGGAGAGATCTGGATTCTGAGATTCCACAGTCATAAAAGGATTTCAAATACTTCAACAAGCAGGATTTCTTAAAAGATGAGTAGATTGGGGTTTTATTATGATATTTTAAAAATTAAAAGAGGGATATTCAGGAATACTTTTCTATATTGTTTAACAATTAATATTATAAAGAAATGAGACAGAGAGAAATAAAATATTTTCTGCATGAAGGTCTATATATTTTTTTTTTTTTTGCCACACCTATCAGATTGACTTCTATTCTGGGAAGTCAAATTATAGCTGTTTTATCCCCAGTAATTTCTGTGCAGTAGAATATAATGACAGGGATCTGGCTTTGAGTCCAGGTATCACAGAATTCTTCCTGGGGTGGGTTTTGTCTATGTGGCTGTGACAGCCAAGGAGAAACCCAATGCCTCTTAGAGACTCAAAATGTTCTTTTTGTGGTCAGTAAGCTCTAGTTTGTTACATTCCCAAATCAGTTT